CATTTCTGACTTCGCTACACTGTCGCGTGAATGTTATATGCATAAACTGTTTAATTATCCAAATTTGAGGTCCGGCTTATTTACGAAACAAGAGAACCCGCCTACCAGAGCTATCACATAACAACGGAACCATTGATCAATGCCAAGGTTATTAGAAAGTCGGTTATGGGGATTACATTTCTTGCTTAGTCTTCAAGTAGAAGAACATAGCGTTGATGTGTACATTATATTACGTGTACTTAAACGTTCCAAGCAATTCTGTTGCCTACAGTCGTCACATGTAGTACACACCTTTTTAGCATATACAGCTGCATATTTCCTATCGTGCTGCTCTGTTATAGCCCTTTGTAACATTTCACACGTTATATCCATGTTGTCGAACCTCTGGTGCCGCTTTCTTCAGCGAGATGAGATTTTGACGATGTGGACTCCCGCATCCGGCATAACACATGCAGAAATCCATTTTGAAGCTATCTAGAGAGATTATATGCACGCGATTATTGCATGTGTTCGTACCTAGTGTGTGGGTAGAAAAAAAGTGTTTTAATCATTAAGAGACAGACATATTCGTAGCATTTGGTATCCTTTCTAGCAAATATGCAGCACACTGCCATCTGACCAACTGTGCCCACGGAAAGCTTTCTCTGGTCTTAGCTTGCAGTTACCTTCGGTTTTGAGGGGTTGGAGGAAACTGTGGAGAGCACTACAACGCCGTTTTATTTTTCCACTTCAGCACTCTTATACCGTTTCGACTGTATTAAGCTATCAGTTGTCCACCACTCAACTTTTAGTGGATGACTTGTTTCGAAAGTTCTGTCATGTTTTTTCTACAGCTACCAATAGGATGGCTCTTCTTTCCTGCCAAACGAATGTTTGTGTAAGGCTCTGAAATGGAGGAAGACAAATCTGCACTGAACTCTAGGACACTAAACGACACGATCGATTCGTCAATGTATGCATGCTCTCCAGGCCTGGATGTTCTCCTTAAGGTTCTATTGGTAGGGTCGAATAGTGACGCAATCTTTTCGGGCCTATCTTGTCTGTCACAAGTTTCATTATCAGCAAAGTAAGAGTTTTCAAATTTCCTCATTATCGTAACAGGAACTGCAATAGAAGAGCACGAAAAGGCAAAATTCGCTCCACAGTAATCTCTCAAATGTGGCATTTGAATGATGCGGTCTTAAGACAGAGAGAGATGAATCTTCTCTTCTCGTCAATACGTCTTCTTTATGACAACACATCTTTTTGTACAACAAAGCCGTTCGTCAACTTCACGACCAGTTCGCAAAGATCTGTCATGGAAGTTTCATAAAAAGCTTTCGATTTCATCCATCGATCATCGACATCCCCTGTTTGTTTATCGTCGCCATCGATGAGAAGTCAACCGAGGTTTAACTTGAAGCCATCGTCAGCTGACATAACCCAAAATTATAATATTCAGTTGATGACTAGCAAGACCAATCCAGAGTGACTAGGTGTACCATTTGACGTCCCGCTAATCGTCAACTAACTCGAGCGAGTGCCAGTAAACCTTCCACTTCCCTGTATCGGGTACAAGAGTAGCACAGTGAGTTCTGACAAAGTTCTTTGAACAAGCTTAGTGTTATATTTCTCTTTTAGGGTTTTAATGAAGAACTCCAACTGTCGAGTACTGTATTCTGCCGTACATTTCACATCCCAATAAATTCACTTTCCAGTAGTTTTGTCGATCGACTGTTGCTAAGAAGCACTACGTGTTCTGGCCCAACTGATTTCCAACATATTACAGCGTACGACGGCATCCTTGATTTTGATCTTTGACGCAGATCGGTGCTTCAGATCTTTTCCTTACTTGTGTGACATAGGATGCTCGTTGCATCGTCCTTTCGACTGCGCGTTCAATAACGCTGAGAGATTTGTCATCGTGCTTACGCAGTGACCAGATTTCTAACACATATGCTAAGGCATGGGGAATCGTGGGGTCGAAAACATGAGCACGCAGTCGGTCTTCGTCCTCCTGTCTACATCCTCCATGTTTTCAAGGCTTCCCAAGCCGCTCATGGGCGTACGTAAGGAATCCGTTCCGTATGAACATTATTTTTGTGAGATTTAATCGAAGACCAATCTATCCACAGGCTTTGCCAAAGTCGGAAAGCATTCATTCCGCTTGAATGTTTGTGGTTATAAAATTATACCATTAACAAAGCAAAGATGGTGTAACTGCCGACCATCGATTTTCACCCCCATATTATCCTATTTCAATGTTCGAATAACGTTTTGGAGGGTGGCAGTAAATAAATTTGGCGGAATGGTATCGCCTTGCCTAACTCTTCTTTTGACGTCAATGTTGATAACGTTGTAGAATGGTGATACCTAGGTTGTGAAATTTTTGTGCAGCTCACGAAGAATCTTTATGGGACTGAGTAAGGACTCCTTGACTATCAAGAGCTTCCATGACTGTTTCTATCTCAGTTGAATCAAAGGCCTTCTATCGATGAAAGTGAGACAGAGCGGTCTTTTGCACTCTCGCCATACTCCAGTAAGTCTTGTTATCGTGTGGATGTGGCCTACCGTATTGAATCCTCTTGCATCCTGACACATGTTGTGTGAAAAGCTGCGCCAATGTGTTGATGAGGACTGGAGGAAGGTTCTTCAGGTGCTCAGGTCTTATCTCATTTAGGCAAAGTGTTGCTTGCTTCCTCACCGACGAAATAGCTTGTCAGAATTTGAGATGCAGAACTAGTACGACTTTTCCATCCTCTTCTATTTAATATGAGGGTAGGAAAGCGCTGCTACTAAGGAAATCGGACTAGCAAACGTGAGTGGTTTTCTCCACTGCCTTTCTGGAAGCTGTCAGTGTTCCGTGTAGGCGTCGGAGTGCAATCATCTTGGTTTTGTAATTGGCGATGTCTCCGCGTGCGCTGCGAATGGTTTTTGCCAGCCTCTCCAACTTCAATTATGAATGATGTTCTTCTGTCTTTAAGATAATCACTCACGCCTCACTGCTTGGTTTTGCAGGCTCGGCCCTTTATCGAGGACTCAGATTCAATTAAACGTCCATTATGGGGTACAGATGACCACCTTTGCCCTTTGCGAGTTAGACACAGGCAGCCTAGAATGGTCCTGAGATTGTAGCTACCTCTCCGTAATCGTCCTACCCAACGCTGTAGTAACGGAGTCAAGAGAATGAGGCCCGTCTATTTCCACGTGCTTAGCTTTTCAACACGTACGTATAACTTGCTGAACTCTGAAAATGGGGGCTGGATATACATACAAGTAGCTCGCCAGCCTCTGCCAGAGTAGCTATAGAGTGTGTTTGTTGGAGACGCTCCCTAACCGCCTCCCAGATACTTCCCAGTCACCTCTTTGCAGGCTTTTTGCCGAATTGACTCGTAGCATACTATCCGCATAAATGTGAACACACCCACACACGCATGCATGACTACGCCCTCGTAAACACAGAAGGTATGCACCAAATCGTCGCAGGAGAAACAGGGAGTCCATCCCCTGAAGCCACCGTCTCAGCGAAGCAGAGGTCGCTTTTGGTCCGCGATTAACCCTCTGTCCGCCACCTGGAGTCGCATCACGTGGCCTCGCGTCTAACCGGCATAGGATACCGTTATGGAGGAGTTCCGGGCGATCTAGAATTACCGTTGAAAACTCATAACCTTCGGAACGTCAAAATTGTGTGCTTGCGGAACAAATGAACTCCCACCTCCTACGCAGTTGACAAAAAGGAGTATGTTTCAGTTGTGTTCACTCTAGTGTTTAAAAAAGGTTTGTTTGAAGCGAATTATAACCAAAGTTGCCACCATAATTTTTGGATGAGCCCAATTATGTTGTAGCAGTGATAACCTCCTTGTGTTACATAAAGTCTACATACAACATAAAAACAGATAGTTCGTTCTGAACCTGTCATCTGCACTACTTTCACAGCCCGTGGATTTGAGATTTTTTTCCAATAAAGCGCCGTGATGACAGGTCGACAGCATTTTTCGCGTCATCGAGCAAAAAATGTCATATGGCTTTATTGGCCGTTTCGGACGAATACGGTTTTTCGATTGCTGACGGTAATTTTTGGATTACTAGAGTGTTCCAAGAGTTGTTCAGTTGACTTATGTAGGAGACTTCGAATTATTATTTCCGCAGCTACTAGCTAGTATTAATGGCATATATGATTTCTATATATCGCCCTCTGAAACTTAATTGTTTAGAAATAGTAGTTTCAAGAAAACTTCGGAGCGAAACTTTAGTTTTTAAGATTTTCGACAAAAAAACAGAGGCTTAAAATATGAAGAACGCATTGTTAAAGGTCATGGTGTCCTACTGAACGAAACGCCGCTTATTCGATTGCGTTTGTCTTCAAAATACGGGTTTTAAACAAAAAAAACTTCAATAATGCTGAGATATTTGCAAAACACCGGACCGCAGGTGTATGCGTTGGGGAACGAACGCGCTATTGTCTTTTCCGGGGAGTAACGCGTTCACTACCACACCATGCGGGTCCTTTGTTTCGCCTGTCGATTCAACGCCTATTTGAACTTCAAATCGGTTATCACTTTCGCATCATATGACCTCTATGAAGGTCACGCCGTTGCGTAATGGTCAAAATAGTAACTTTAAAAGTTAATGGTCCTTATGCGTTAAATTAAAGCTCCCCTTGGCATGGATGTATGAGTTAACACCAAAGGATTGGTGCGCGAACATTTGAATGGCTCTACATTATGTAGAATCGCACTGCCTCCTACCACATCAAGTTTTCTATCCAGTCAGTCTGCTGTTTTAACACATTCGCGACTATGCGCATTGCCTTCAATGGGTGTGTTCGGCGATGCGTTGTGTCCGATGGCTATTTTCAATACGTACGCATCTCGAGCAACGAAAAATTAGGTGTCGTCGCGAAGATGTCAAAACACTTTACCTATCTTATTTGGAGTCACGAGTCCTGCTCTGATTTCCTCAGGTCACTAGCCCACTTCGGTCTGTCACCTTGGACTTGGAATGTCTCGATCTGAGATTACCGCCTTCGGGAGCGATAATGTCACCAGACATCCGCAAATCGATCGATACATTATCGAGCGCAAAGTGAAGCGGTGAATCAAAACAGTGCGCATTCCTTTGTTGACCATTCATACCCGGGTTGAATGAAGGTCTGTCTACAACGGCAGAAAGAGATTCTAATAAGAAAGTAACAATTACGGTCATGGGTGTTGCTCACATCTCCTGCAGTCCTCACTGCCCACGCTATGCGGGACGCCTTGTCTTTCTGAGTGAACTATTGATCGGCCACCATCAGGCATTTGTTTTGTCATGGTGAAACTCGTCCTCACGCCCAATAACAATCACCAAAAGTATCTGGACGAGTTTTCTTCCGACTTTTTATCGGTTTGGCATATCCGTGGGTTTCATTCGAAAAATACGTGTTTCATGTTCTTTAAAGCTTCAAAGAAGTTGATTTCGCATTGTTTACTCGGGAAGGTAACTTTTGCGCATGGATAATGGAATTGAACCGAGCCATTGCCATTTTCATGAGCAAAACTTAGCCTTAGCTGGAGAAATTGTGTTTAAAACGAAACTCTTTTTCTGGATGGTGCTTCCAAACAGCTCTGAGGCAATCGATAGAAGCTTTTACGTTTTCCGAAGAGTCATTCCGATTCAGTATTGAGCTGAAAGTGTCCTTTTAAGTTTTACTATTATAAAAATCAATAATCGCACACTACGTCACCTGTGTCGTCGCGCGATGCCGCGTCGCGTTCGTGACCGAATCGTACGAGATCTGGCTTTTAAGAGCTTGTTAGGACGAGTTTTGTTTTTCAGTCACCGATCACGTCATGAAATTTCCCAAAGCAAAGATTTGGACAGTTTTTATATCGAACGTTTTATTTGTATTATATTTTCGAACAAGTAACATCGTCCAGTTGTCCCATATCTCGTCACTGCCCTTCCACGTTGATTAGAAAACGGATCACAAAGAACATACCGTAAAATGAAAGGTCCCAGCTACTTGGTCTTCTATCTCCCGTATATTTTTACTTGGATACCATTTCAGAGAGGCAGGTCCTAAGTCGATTTTCTTGTTGTCTATGGTGACACTTCAGTTACAGACTTCGAATTTTTGCTCGTTTTTGTTGTATCTACAAGTGGTTTCTGACATATCTCCGAGCAAAAACTAGCATTCTATCAGGCGATGATGCTGATGTCGGTGGGTAATGCTGAGGAGACAATCAAATATTCGGAATTTGCTAAGGGAAACGACTTTGAGGTGAGAGAAAGTTAAATATTTCACTTCTATGAAGTGTTCACCTTGCCTCAATAACTAGTTTTTAGGATTCCCATTTTGATGATTTTTCTGATGATGATGATATCATCTGTTTGGACGTCGATGATGCTCCTGGTTGTTCAATTCCGAAGCAAGTGAATGTGTCAGAAGTGTGTACCACTCCCAATTTCTAAATGTCATGTTACATGTAGTCTAATGACGTCAGATTCCTTTCCTCAAGTCAAATTCCTCTCAACTTTTTGTGCTCAATCTTTTTTGCTAAATTGCTGACTTCCGTACCAACTAAGGTCTTTATCCTTTGAAATTTGAATATTTAGCTATATCTATTAAGGGAGTTCGTCCTTTCAGTATCATAAATTTAACATTTGCTTTGATTTGAAGTATAGGGTTTTCTCAATGGAGAGCTTTTACTGGGTTATCTAAGCAAAAAGTACAAGGAAGCTTTTCGGGAGAATTCAAACTTTCTTTAAATCACAGTGCTGCGTGCAAAATTGGCAGTGATATATACATGTACACAACAGTATTGCACTGTTAATGTCATAATGTGTTGAGGCTCAATCTTACGTTGATCTGGAACCTTCTATCGGGACCTCACAAGTATCCAGATTTCTGTTGAAGGTATGGAGATATACTGTATATCCCAGGTACTCTTACACAACTTTTCTCAAGAGATTTTCATTGTCAGCTGAATTCTTAGATTCATGGTATATTGTATAGGTATTGCGCACTGGGAAGCCTTTGTTTTCGGGAAGTTGAAACCATTTAGCTTATAGATCGTCCGGATGTATTTAAACGATCGCTGCTGCAATTCCCCTGGTTGTTCAGGAGTACTCCAGCTAGTAGAGAAACTAAAGAAGGGTATGCAAGGTATGGGAGAACGAAACGAAAGGCTTCGTGAAGGGATCAGTGATAGTCACTTAGGTAATAATCACAACGATCGTTTGTCGTCCATTTTCACCATCTTTGAAATGTTTCTATGAAGATCTTCATAGTTGTTTCTCTCTCAGAAATGGAAAGGATTTTGGAAGAGAATTCTGAGCTGAAGGTAAAAATGTCAAGAGCAGATGCTATAATTAATTCTCAGAAACTGACTATTCAGGAGTTGGAACTCCATTTAAGTGAACTTCAGGTACGTCGACTATTTCAGCGAACATGAGCGCGGAGATTGCACCACAGTTTTAGCATTCCTAACCTGTCATAGTACGAAATATAACTGATCCGGTTTTTTTTTTTACACTAAGGAATGCTGAAGTCAATGGGTATAGAAGCAAAAGCCCACATATATACTTACCTCGTGTACTTACTTATTTTACTTTGTGCATTGTAGGACGGATGTTTGAAAAACAAGTAGAAGTTTCTGTTGTTTCCTGTTGTGAGAATATCTGATGAAGCATTTGGTAATACTTGTCTATTAAGAAGGAAGTGATGCGACTAATGCCTGCGAAGCAGCCTCATAATTTTCAACATCTTCCAAACAATTCGCCATTGCTGCACTGCTCAACTAACATTGTTCCACCAGAGCCAACACCTACGATTAAGGTACGTTCGAGTTTCCAAAAGTTCGTGCCAAACCATTTTTGTACTCTCAATGACTTACTGCATCATCGTGGGTAGGTGTTCCTGGGTGTCGGGCTGCAATGCAGAGAGGAGGGGATTCATCTCAGCAGGGTCTCCCAAGCTGAGAAGGAGTACGACGTTTCCATCAGGAAGCGCAGCTAAAACTAAACCAGTACTAGGATCCACCAACGTCGTATCAAACTACTCGCATGGTGGCAGATATCCCTTTGATCCACAAGTTCGGTGATTGGCTATTGCAGACTTTAGTTAGGCTGACCTCGGAACTCCAGAGGACCGCAATGGCTAAGCCACAAAAACTCCGAAAAATTTGGAGACTGTTCTGGGGCCTGCGCAACCAGTGAGGACGTGCTATCTAAGTATCCAAGTAAGCAAACCATTTTTACATGTAAGTTTTTAGAGATCTCGTATCAGTGCAGACAAGCGGATCGTCGCTCGTTCCAATCAAGCATTACGGAAAGTTGCTAGGCTTTATGTCGACCAAAGGTCTGGTCAGAATACAAAGGAAGTGAGTAAGGTCACTTAATAATGTTAACATCTGATTGTCTAGTTATCACACATTTAATGTTGTGTATATTAGGCTTCAAGCTCTCTGCCTGCAATTAATCCTGCTTTACCTCAACCGCAGCGAAGTTCGACGAACCGCTCTATTTCGAAAAGAACTCGCGTTCGTGTGGATGTACCTCACGTATCTGGGAAGTCGCTCATTCATTTTTTTGCTCCTATATCGGTTTGTCTAAGTGTTTTCTTGATTATGAGATGATCACTGCCATTTTTAAATAGTTTCTATGTATACTGTTGTTGTCACTTTTTCTCAGAGTCCTATACTGGATTATCCTTCGGAATGTCTCAACTCAAAATTTAGTGGTCCCACTGATCTAACTTTGGAAATTAATACAGAGCCGTCTGGTTGGTTCTTCTATTCATTCCTTTTTTTTTAATCGGTGGCGAAATGTGTAATAAATGCCTCATTTTCTCTATTTGTAGATTTTCTTCTAACGAGGAAAGTGCAAGGTGTTATAAAATATTCTGCGGTCAATGAACGTCGTCCGAAGGTCTTTCTAGCATATTCAGTGCTCAGTTCCAGGTTCTCTGTAGAAACTTTTTTCAGAGCGTGAAAGTATATTGCTATCTGGAGAGCGCGAGTAAGGTGTTTCATTGGACATCAAGTACGACATATGCATTTGCTGGTTCTACTAAGATGAAATTCGATATAGTATTCTCCAAAGGTGAGTCAGTGCGGATATTTCTAGGTAGTTCGTTTTTGCTACTTTTAACATAGTTTTATTAAAGCTCTTCGGATTTGTTAGCACATCGACAACCATATGGCTCGTCCTCACAGATTGTGCGGGCTCCAGCATACTTACTTGATTCTTGAACGGCTCGTTATCACTAGTTGTGCTGGACCTAACGGAATCACCATTTTTCGGAGGTTTGCTCGTTAAGCCATTGTGCCGAATCCTGGGGCCAACCTGGCCAAAGTCTGCCCCTGTTCTTCACCAGGACAGGCAGTCGCAGCCCTTGTGGATCAGAGTGAGATTTACCACCATGCGACTTTGATACCAAGACGGTGGTGGATCCTGATATTGGTTTACTCCTAGCTAAGCTTCTGATGGAAACGGCGAACTCCACAGCTTTGGAGACCCTCCTAGGGAGATGAATCCACCGCTGTACATCGCAGCCGGACACCTAGGAACACCTTCCAGTCACGATTTGGCGGATAACCGTTGTAAGGATTTCAAAGCATAGGCGCTCGTAAATGATTGTTTCTTTTGACCTTGAACAAATGAATGAACACATAGAAGTTTTGTTAGGAGATGAGATGGACAAATATGGATATATGATGTTCTGCTACACAGAGACATATTTTTCTCGCTTTTGTTCGTCAAGACCATCTCGAACGGCAAAGCGAGTGAGCCAGCGAGATTTCGTCCTAGTGAACGTGTTGATGTCCCAAATGTGCCGTTGTACTTCACGGTTGCTGCTTTTCGCTCAATATTTTTAAGAATGTATATTTTGTTTTTAGTTATCTGAGGTCTGAGGTTCTGCATTTGAACCACGGAAATGACAGTTTAGAGACTCACATGCAACCTTAGACGATAGAGCAAGTTTTCTGTATAAATTAGTCACGTTCTGTCGAGTATTCGGGTTATCCAAGAATTATTAGCCGTTGTCCAAAACTGGCATGGTAGCAATGTTATTAAGGAAGGAGATAAGGGAACTAATCTCAAGCAAACTTCAACTTTATTTTCCTTCGCATGTTTTGGGCCATTGAGGGATGAAGAACTTGGAATGTCAAGGGTATAGATCGAAACGACCTTGTGCGCATTGTAGAGGTTCTTATAACACTGTGGTATAAGTGCATGGAAGTTTTTTAGTCTTATTTATAAAGGCCATTGTTGATAGTATGACGAGTTCTGTGTTTATTTCACTATTGGTACTTCAGATCAGGAGATTGCTGCATACGATCGTATAGTAGTATTTGCATTCGCAGTTGTTGACGCTGATAAGTTCGTAACAGAACGCGTAATTCTTAATCTTGGTCAACAAGCTCGTTATGTGAAAGACTCAGCTGTACGCATCAGTATTCCAGAGCTGCGTCGACAGTCTCCTGCCGAACCTATGGAGACAGTATGTTGCATTTTCGCTTGATTATTTAGATACGTAAGAAAGACCGTCAATAGGGAGGCTTAGACATATTTGGAGGCGGGGAAATCTGAAATTGCTGTTTCTTTGTAGATTCTCTTGATTCAGTGCTGAAATGCAAACCAGCAGCATTATTCTTTATGGAAGTGATCCACATTATAATTCTTTTCCAATAGTTGACACCAAATGTCGATATAGTTGTTTATTTCAGGAGTATATGTCGTCAGTAAAAGTGAAAACAACTAACACCAATTCTCACACCATTGAATCAAATTTCGAGGTTTATCGTCCGTAGCAGTAGTTTGTAAAGTAGAGTTTCGTTGAAGTGTATTTTTCTCTAGCTTAGTCATTACCTTACTTTATTTAATTTAGAGTTGAAAGTTTATGTCTAGTACAACTTCATTACGTCACTCTTTGAATTGTAACTTTAATACAATCCTATGGTTGTTGTCACACATTGGTGCTATGTTCTCACTGCGTTACTGATTTGGGTTTTGTGGCCTAAACTTTACGACAAAGTTTTTGGTCTTCGTAATGAAGCTGCATACCGGTAGCACCGGTGTGGACCTTACACTTTCGTTCTGCATAGGCATTCAGGAATGAATTTTCTAACCAGGACAGCTATAATCTCATTTGTCCTCTACGATGTCTCATTTTAATGACTTTTAAGACTTAATGCCATACTCTTGGTTAATGCTTCTGCTTCAGAGACTAGGAATTGTGCACCATAGGGTTTACTAGCGCGTATAAATTAGTAAGAACAAGAGCATCTCGACGTTTTGTTGTTAACAGGATGATTGATCATTGGTAGATAAATAACTCCGATCTGATCATAAGGTTGAGAAGAACGAGTAATAGTGGGAAATGTTTCGTAATCATAGCGGGAAATTGGAACCCTGGACAAGAAAGCGGCGGTTTTCTGACAAAGCGTACTACTCCATGCTAGGAGCATTCAGTACTCATCTCCAACGAAAACTTTTCTGCAAACGGTGTATACTACCACGTTCAGGTAATACAGAAAGATCTACATACCAAGAGTTAACTCCGTTGCTACTTGATTTTCCTATCTCGTTAGCTAAAAGTTTCTGTGATTATCGTCGACAATTAAGTGATATTTGCTATTTTATACTTATGTTTTTCCGAAGTAAATGCCTCTCTACTTAAGGTGTTGATTTCTTTACTTCAGAGTTTTTTTGTTGTATTGATTTTCTCACAATGGATTATTTAGTAATAAAAAATGGGTACGTGTGGCGTTAGGTGTAAAACGGTTTTCCATCCTTTGTTACGGAAATCTGTTCTACGTGTCATTGTTCCTTTGAGGTGGGAAAAATTCCCTATGGTAAATACGGCAATGAACTCTCAATCCTAAAAAGTAGTAATTTTGGTTTCAGACAGTTTCTGGCACTGTTCTGTAGAAGATAAAGAACAAAGTACGATGTAATTTTGGGTCCTTTAGATGTCTTATATCCTGGACTCGTAGCTTTTGTGTAGAAGCAGCAACTACCTGCTAATAGTTTTAACGGTAGCGTTCGTGCTTTTTGTGTTGTTCTTAAGAGGACAGGACGTCGTTAACACAGTATCTACCTTATAATGGCTAAGCTTCCACCTTCATCACAGCCCGGAAAGGTCACGTTGATGTGCAATTTAGTCAGCCAAATGCTTCCATAACCACTACGGAAAAACTCGGAATTGGACAGAATTTCAATTGTATTGGGAACAGCTCTTCAGACACTGACCAATTGCAATGTCTTCTAGCAGTTTGGTGGATAGCTGCCCTAAAGAGTTCAACTGGGTGGATAATATGCCTTTCTCACGATAAAAGATCACCCAAAGGTATGGGACGAGATCACATGTGATACTAAAGCATTCCTTCCATGCAGTTTATTCTTGGGTTCCTGGAGTTTATCCGATATTCCTTGAGGGTCGTACACCCTGAAGTTTTTGATTCCTGTGCAGACATGAAGGTTAGAGCTGTCGGCATTGATCAATCCCTGAGAGATGCTCTGTGGCTCTGTGCATTCGACTTCGTTAAGCATCGTTGGAGGTGATTCAATGCATTTTTGGCCTTTACAATGACCCGCGGTAGCCTACCGGTGCATTGAGTCAGTGCTGTTATCCTCCCAGGCAAGTCTTGTACCAATTTTCCGACGCTGGACGAGTAGAAGGCTTGGTGAGATTTGTGTGTGAAGATTGATCCTATGTGTATTGCAAGGCGCCACCGACCATTGAGCTACACACGCCCTTATGCGAGGATAGTGACTTTTATTTCGAAATCTCCGTTATGTCTCCGTCTTCCTTGTGTGCTTAGTAGAATGCTTTCTTTAATGTTGACTTTACCGCAACGGTGCTGAGATATTTGCAAAACTCAGTACCACAAGTGTCTCCTGCGGGAACGAACGTGTTATTACCCTTTCCCCAGGACTATTACCACACTATGCGGGTCTTTCGTTTCGTCTTTCTTTGAGCTAGTTTTCTATCTACGAGTGCCATCAGCAGTCGTTAAGTTTACCATCTTGTTTTTTAAAACGGCCACAGAGTGATCTATTGGTTTTCTAATCTAGAAATCAATAATCTGGAAACCTTGGAAGGATTAGTCTTGGTGGTCTTGAGGCGTGGTCAAACGAGTAAGCATACGTGTATTATTGAACCACTCAGCCACTTGCACCACTTCGGCTCGTCGTTGAGGATTTTTGCTCAGCAAACTTTTCCCCAACGTTGTTGTGTGCGAGCTTTTTTTGTTCCATAACCCCACATGGCATGTGTCACACAGTGCAGGTTCCAGGACTTCTTGCATCCTATTGGTTTACTCGTATCATCCATCCACGAAGGTCTTCGAATTTTCTCCATATGGGTTCGGGTGCTGCTGAAGATTTCTCCTTCGTCATGAATATCGTTGAATATGTATTCCTTCTTGATGAGCTTGCACGAGGTTGATAAATATATTTGTTTTCGGCTAACGTTTCGACGTCTTCGTCTTCCTCAGAGCCGATGATCCGAGTCGATGGTCCATGCTTGTTGTTCGTCTCGACGCTGCAGCTTCGCCTTCCTGTCGAGCCAGATCTTCCTCAGCTAGCCATCTTCTCGAATGAGGCATCCTCACTCAGTGGTGCCCTTTTATACACGATGCTGATGGTGTATGTATAATGATAATGTCCGGTGGTAACAACATGTATTTCTTCCGGACATCATTGCGCACATCGCGCAGAAGTCGGTGTTTTTTATCAGCTAGCACAAAGCGTAGTAATATTTCGAAACCGACTTTCCTTGAACCTCGGTGTGACTAATCAATATGTATTCTTTCTTGATAAGCTTGCCCGAGGTTGATAAATATATTTAGGGGGCATCACTGAGTAAGGATGCCTCATTCGAGAAGATGGCTCACTGAGGAAGACCTGGCTCGACACTAAGGCGAAGATGCAACGTCGAGACGAACAACAAGCATGGACCATCGACTCGGATCATCGGCTCTGAGGAAGACGAAGACGTCGAAACGTTAGCCGAAAATAAATATATTTATCAACCTCGTGCAAGCTTATCAAGAAAGAATACATATTGATTAGTCACACTGAGTTTCATAAAAGTCGTTTCGAAATATCGTTGAATGTTGGTCGAGTCGATTCTCCATCAAATCATGAGATAGCCGCGCTAAGCCGTTACCATGTGGATTAGAGGGAGTCAGCTTGTCGCGGACAAATCTGGTACCAATTTCCAGACCCCGGAGCCATGGGAGAACTGGTAGGCTCGGGACGGAGTCGAACCAGCAGCTGAGTAGGTTGGGCCGTCCGTGTAATGAACGAGTTCACTACAACTGCGCCATCCGCTTCCTTTGTGAAATTGTGGAATTAACGTATGTAACAGTCTCATCTTATGAAGAGCACAATTTTTATGCGACTCATGATCATATGTCCTGTGCTCAGCAAATCTTTCATTCTGCTTTCAGTGTCTCTTGTCCGTTCTCAACTCTCTTGTCCGTTCTCAACTAAGGTTTTGAACGTTGAATGTTGTTTTGGCTGCTTTTTGAGTATCTCATGTTCTTCATGATTGTTATGGATCGTGGTTCTCTCTGAAATCACGGGATGCCACTACTAGAGACTGATCGTGTCTTCACTAGAAGCAGTCGGCATCCTTTCCAGATGGAGGGAAACTTTTCTCAGACAAGTCGGGAATAAATCTTGTTGACCTCGAAGGGATGAGTCTTGATGGGGTTGGCGAGGGACACTAATAGTGAATTATTATCCAATTCATCACGTGGAAGTTCGTTTAAAACAATTTAGTTTTGAAACATATCAATCTTGTTTAAGCATATCAAGGAAAGAATACATATTGATTAGTCATACCTAGTTTAAAGGAAAGTCGGTTTTGAAATTATATGCTTACATTTTACTGTTAGACCTTTCATTTGGTAAAATGCTGACAAATTTTTTTCTGCCTTCTCGGTCTTCTTCCCTGTCATTCTACTAGATGGTCGTACTTGCTATTGTAGTTATTACAATTATTGACTAATTAAATTATAATAATTTGGTCGTAATTATTGACTTTTAGATGGTCAACCTTTACCCAGCTGCAATCGAAAGTGATGAAGAAATCACAACCGACGAAAGTGGAGATGACGAAAATGCAGACGACGTTGAGGTTGTGAGGCTTTCCTTCAGGTCCACTAGAAAGTGCTCTATGTTCGTTTATTTTTAGATATCTAGTTGATTTAGGCCGTAACTGTGGTGAAAAAGAAGAAAGTTTTTGGTGCAGCAACGGAGTTTTCAGCAGATTTTTCATTCGAATGCCCAGCTGATTACAACACTGATCACGATGATTCGGCCCTGAAAAAGTGAGTGCTCAAAATATTTGATTAGGCATGGGAGGTGTTTCTGGGTGTTGGGCTACGATGTACAACGGAGGATTTCCCCCGAGAGGGTCTCCCAAGCTGAGGAGTCCGGCTTTTCCATCAGGAAACCCAGCTAAGAGTAAACCAATACCAGGATACGTCACCGTCCTGGTACCAAACTAGTCGTGGTGGAGCTCCTTCTGATCCACAAAACCGGCGACCGCCTGTGGTGGTGACGACCTGGAGCAGACTTTGGTCTGACTGACCTCAGAACTCCAGGGAAACATGATGGCTAAACCAGCAAAACTCGGAGAAAAGTGGAAGTTATGTTGGGGTTCTCACAACCAGTAAAGATGAGCCATCTAAGTATCCAAGATGTCGCTAAAGACTGTGTTTTGTATAGTAAACGTTCTTGTCATAATTTGAACCAATTTGCAATTTATCATGCATATTATCATTCTCTTTAGATATTTACGTAACGGAGTTCCATCAACTCTGGAAGATAAAATAGCAGCAGTACGCAAAAGTAAACACACAGCCAAAGAAGTTGAAGTGGAGATGAAAAATGATAACGATGAAGTTGAGCAATTGGGAGGAAAAGAAGCAAAAGGTATGAAAAAACAGGCAGTGCACTGTTACTCCATATTCGGAAGCCAGTGTTTTGTAGCGAAAATGCTGCGAAAAATGTTGTCAGAAGTATTTATTTTTATGTGGCTCATTAAAAACAACCATAACGATGTTAAGATATTTGCAAAACTCCGGATTACAGGTGTTTGTGGTGGGGAACGAACGCGCTTTTACGCTTTCCGGTGACAAACGCGTTCACCACCACACCATGCGGGTCCTTCGTTTCGCCTGTCTCTCAGCTAGTTCTATCGATCACTACCATCAGCAATCACCCGTCAACGGGACTGATTTGAGGAACGTAAATCAGCATAAAACAGTGGTAGGAGGCGCCATGTAATATATACAGGATCAGTCCCAGCGCCCAAGGTACACCAAGCCATCCATCCATTCTGGGTCGGTAAATTGTTGCCAGACTTGTCTGGGAGGATAGCAACACTGGCTCGATACATCGGTAGGCCAATACGAGTCATTACAAAGACCAGATATGCATTCAGTTACCTCCAAACGATGCTTAATGAAGTCGAATACATGGCGCCTCCCTCAGGGATTGATCAACGCTGAGAGCTTTATCCTTTTATCAGTTCTCCTGCCATAAAAATTGTAGTAGGCAACAAATAAAAGGTTAACATTCATAAAATATTTTTTTACTATTAGATCGGAGTATATAATTTAAATGTCAGGTATGCAGCATGTGTCCAGCCTTTTGAATGTGAAAACTTGATGTTTTGTCTAGATCAAATTCGTGACAAGAAGAAAATGGGTAAAAGAAGCAGACTGAAACAGGATGATTTCTTCGAGGAGACCATGAATGTTGCTGATACAATCACCTTCGAACAAATGCATTTATCTCGTCCAATGTTAAAGGTATGAATATTTTATAGGCAATCTTGGTGAAAAATTCATCTTCTTCGATAGTTATAGCTTGAAGTAGATTGACGTCAAGGCAATTTACTGCTTCCTTTTTGCAAAGTAAATCGTTAATTTCAAGGCAATCGCAGCAGCTGGGTATTCCGAACCGACTCCGATCCAAGCTGCATGTATACCGGTTGCTCTTTGTGGAAAGGACATTTGTGCGTGTGCAGCAACAGGAACTGGAAAAACAGCTGCATTTGTGCTACCTATATTAGAAAGACTTCTATATCGACCAAGCGGACGTCTGTGTACCCGAATTCTGGTCCTCGTTCCAACCAGAGAGCTTGCTATTCAAGTGTTTCAGGCAGGTTCTTTTTCTTCTTACAGTGGAGGATTATTTGTAATTTATATCTTCTTTTAACTGAGACAAAAATCCCTGGGTGCGCTATGTTTAAATCTACATAGGTTTCAGGTGTTTCGCAAGCTGTCCACGTATTCTCAGGTAGAGGTGTGCTTATGTGCAGGTTAGTCACACGTTCAATTTTTCATGAATTTATATGTTACTAATCTCAGTAAAAGCCAAAGTTTCTAAAGTGGATAGCGCAGTGGTAGTGCTGCTGGTCATCACGAGCACGGTGCTAGTTCAATCCCGCACCGGGCTTACCAATCGTCTCGTCACTAATCTCAGTACTTGGCTCTAAATCTGTTACAAGGTGGTCATCTATCTCTCATATCATTAACTGATGAATTTAACAGCTGATGATTAGTAATACTCAGTAGTGTAGTCCGGATTCCAGTTCTTTCGTTTTTCCATGTTTTCAATAATTCATTTATCGGTTAACTATGGAAACACAATATAGTGAAAATTTTGTATAACTTCCATTCTGAATATTTATTTTATACCATACATTAGATATTTTCACACACTATTTTCAGGTATACTAGTAGAAAAACCGGGTCCCAATCGCTTTAAAATCTTAAGAGCGCATGCATTCCTCCGCCTTCCCTCCTTTGCCATAGGTTCAGTTCAAAGCTTTGTCATACCAAAAAATTTTTGCTGTTAATGCAGAACGTTGCTATGACTATTTCCTCATTAGACTATACTTAGGGAATTTTTATTATACATATTCATTCATCCATCGCGTGGAATCTCGACGGTTTTCGTATGGATTCCATTTTTTCTCTAATTACAACGTATTCAAGAAGAGATTCGTTCTTCTTTTACAGAAGAAGCACAGAACAGACTTTATACCGATGACCCTAACCTTTTCTTTAGTTCTTGCTGCAATACTTTGTCAATTTATTGACTTTCCAACTCGCCTGAACTGTTTCGAAGCTGTCACTTTACCTGCGCCTTGTTTTTGCGCAAGCTCTCATTCCATTATGCGAAGCATTACTTGATGTAGTATCTTGAAATGTCACCATCGGTTTTCATCTGTAAGGTCACCTCCATCACGATACTTTTAAACCCGACAGGGATCGTAAGCTCCATAAAGAAAAAACTTCATCTTGTCAAGATAAGAAAAACCTGTATATTGCTGGCAAGTATCTCCACATATTCGTTTCAATTGATGAAGACATTGTTATCAGCTGAGATGTTTTCGTTTGGAGTTGCAATTGTTTTCCACAAAATTAATGGTTTTATATGACTTATAAAAGTCCCAGGTACTTTAAAACACAGCATCAAAGATTGAAAAGGTAAAAACGATGTTGCTTTCGGGACGGCGATTGACCTGGGAGTGGATTCCAGCTGATAACCATATAGGTAGGAGTTGTTCTTTTCTTTTGTTCTTTATACTTTATTACATATGGCCCACTAATTAGGAATTTTGGCGATGATATCTAGAGCTGATCATCTAACCAAAATTTACAACAGAATTACACGTATTAATGTTTATGACATTGTGTCCAAAATATACAGTTGCTCAACTAGTATGCCAATGTATCAAGAAAGATTATTAGCACATTTTTGCTCGAATAGTCCCTGTACTGTTACATTTGAAAAAAAAACTGTTACAGAATTGTTCCAGTCGTCTTGCTTAGTTTTGGCCAAAGATTCTCAGTTTTTGCATGTTTCTGTCCTCTTTTCTTCATGTTTATTTATCGGTTACTTGGACACTTGAAAGGTCCATCATCACAGTTAGTGCACACTTCAACACATTTTTCACTCGTTTCTTCGCCTCAGGGTTGTCGTCCTTGGTGGTGGTTTGGTTAGAGAATGGTAACGTGTTCAAGTGTCGTACTGTGATCTATCAAGGATCTGCAGCTGCCAATATGGCTGATTATCCTCTCGGAATCCGCTATTTTTCTTCGCTCATCTGTCGGCTAAGAACAGACCCATATATGTTTCGCTATCGATGAGCAATCTTCCGAATTACGAATGAAGGGTAGAATCCGAAGACCTGAGCTGCGGATTTCGGTCAGACTTTGTGAACGCGATTAAATTCAGAAGACGTCAATCCGTGCAAACGCTCTGTGAATGGTGCGCAGAATTTCCGACGTAGTTGAATTATTTAGCTGAACCTCTGGTGTGTTGTTGAGTACCGGGAAGACCGTTGATTTCAAAAGGTGAGTGCAGAGTTCCGTGTCCGTTTGGTTTTTAATCGCTTCTCTCACAGGTCTCAGCAAGGCCTTTGCTGCTCTTTTTTGGTATGATTAAGTCAGCTTTCGTGTTGTTTTCCATGTTCATTGAACGGCCATGGTAAACATTCGACGCAGCCTCTGTGATCAAAGAGCCACGAAGTTCTGTATTTTAGTCCACTTTTGCACTGTGGACTGTGCACTTTTCACTTTTTGTAAGTTAGTTTTTCTTTCCATTTATGAGTAGTTTCCCTCCTGATTTCTTTGAACTCATTGCTCATCGTCTGTGACACTGTGACACTTCTGGAAAAGACGATAGTCTCGTTAGTAGAACGAATATTTGGTAGGAATTAGCCGTCAGTGCGTATGCTTTTCTCGTCCTAGTTTGGTGATTTCATTGTTAACTATAATGCGGCAATAAACAGCTTATCGTGTTGCTTTTCTGTTGAATTGCTTCCGTTTCGACACTATAAAACGCTTTTTGTTATCTACAAATGTTAGGACAAGGGACAGGTGATATTTCTGATAAACTTTAATGATCTGTGCTATGGTTTAGGTGTGATACATGCAGAAGCATCACTGTTGGAATTCTGCTTTATCAAATGATTTTGCTTCATCTAAAGTTCTTGATAACAGCGTCATGGTTATGAAGATAATTTTAGTCAACGTTCTACAGCAGCATTACAGCGCCATCCTGCGCTGGCCTGCGATTCATTCCATTTGAAGGCAAGATTCCATATGGATTGCGAGAGCACATGTGTACGTGTAGTTTGTGGCTTCCAGTTCGACAGAAGTCAGCGGTAATGTTCTCTGGTCGATACAACCTGTAAGAATGCGTGACAGTTCTCCAGCTGGAATCCTGGAGTGCAGGACTGCGATTAAAGGATGGAAATGGTTGTTTCAGAGCTTCTCCGTTATCAATTCCATATCATCGCAGGATGTAGTAATGATCACATCTTCACAATGTGATCACCTTTCATTAACGGCCTCTTCTTGCTTCATAGCGGGGTATGATGTGAAATATAACCACAGTAATGCTGAGATGCTTTCAAAACTCTAGACCACAGGTGTCTGTGGACCGAACAGTGGACATCGCAGTGGAAAATATTCCATATTTGTTCATCAGGGCTGGCAGCAGATTATTATATTCTCAGAGATCTTGCCGGCGTTTCCTTAGACTAACTCTCTAGCTCTCTTTTGTGAATTGCTTTCAGAAGTTTGTTATCTATGTACCTATGTAAATCCCCCGGCAGGGATTTGCAGTTGATAGTAGCAGTGAGAAAAGTTTTGTGTCATGAATTATTCCTTCTATTAGTTCTCTTACCAATAGATTCGGATACGATATTTGGGGAGAATGTAAATATGGAAATAGGAATAAAAATTGGTCGACAGCTATGAAACAAGTCGATCAACTTTGCCAGTTTACCACGGTAATTTTTTAAATTGATTTTTGATTAATTTTTAATAGAGGACTAGTTTTATATTGTTATTCTTCAAAAAACAGTTCCCCTTCCTCCAATAAAAAAACATTTTCTGGACAATTTGGAGTAATGGCAGAATTTCTGAGTTTTCCTACAGTATTCCTACTCCATTTGGATGCTATGCGAATCCACACATTTTACCGACATGGCTGTCACCTGGGAATTTCACTTTAGCAGATTCCTATCTATGAGATAAATAAATCTCGACGTTTTTCACATTTCGATTCATCAGTGCTTTCACCGCCAACAAAAAGATCATGAATGAGGTTCTTTGAGTATAATGTAAAGCTATCTATAATAGCTTGATGATATCTATATGCTGTTATGCAGCAGAATCGAAAGCTATTGAATGAACTAACATTTGCTCTAACTAGGAATATAGATGAAAAATACGCGACCGTACTGGTTTCTTAATAACTTAGCAAGTAATTTCTTTTTTTTATATCACCCGTCTCACGTCTACTGTGCAGATCCCAGCACTTCTCCCATTTGATTCGTTTCCTCCAACTTTATGTGTGGGCTGGGTTATTGCTTGAGGATTTTCATTTCATCTTGAATGTCGTAGAATACTGGTCGAGTCGATTCTCCCTGGAGTTCTAAGATAGCCGTGCTGGAGCATTCCCAATTAGGCTGTAGGGAGTGATTTTTCCCGAACAAGTACGTACCAATTTGCTGACCCCGGGGGTATGACAGACTTGGTTACTCCGCAGTGGGATCGAACTCGTACCGTGTTCGTGATGACCGACATCACTACCTTTGGGCTATCCCCCTAATAAATAATTAACTTAATTAACTCAATATAAAAATGATGATTTTTCGGTTAATAAAGTATTTGGAAAATGGAAGGCTCGAAAAATTTATGATAGGGGCTATCACTTCATCAGTGAAAATCACGTATTATATATTTCTCGGAGTATGTCTTTGTTACTTTTTGTTTGAAACTTGCGTATTATCACAGGAAAGACGAACGCTCGTCAGCAGCTGACCGAGCGAAATCTCTCCCATCTAATCACCTTGCTCGAGGTCGAAGCCTCGGAGGCAAAAAATACAAATTGGGCGTTTCACGAGTTCTGAAAGAATTAGAATCCAGAGGTAGTAGAATAACTATAATTGCATCTTATATGCAAGTATGCATAAATTTTAGTGGTTTTTTTCTGTTTAAAGTTAACAATGAGCTCGGCCGTATTCAAAGAATTGAAAAGCAAATTTATCATCGACCACAAATAGGTTCCTTACATGACTTGTGTTGTCATCAGTGTGTTAGAATGGCAAGTCACCACTCGAGATTTACATATTTATTTCACCCGGCTCGGTAGCTCAGAGGGTGTCATAGCATTTCGACTAACTTAGACTGTACTCTTAACTACTTATATCCATTGCTTTGGAAAGTCAGAAATTTGCAGTTGTTTCTGCACAGTACAATCACAGGTTTGTTCTGTTATCTTCATGATAGTACTTTTATCAGAACATGATTAAGCTCTTGACATGACGAAAAATCTAAATAATGGTCATGTTCATAGTTAAATTGTTGAACCCTAGCAAGTAGAAATTCATGGAGAGCTACGGCAAAGTTTCTTAGACATTAGTGGTGACAGCTATGTTTGTGTGACAGTCGTGGGCGACGATTAATTTTATGCTGGTTATGGACTTGACAAACTTGTCCAGCATTAGGACACCTCGTTATAAGCACATAATGAATAGTTGCTGATTTTTCGAAAACACACTGATCGAAACATATTCTGTGAACTCCAAACTCTTCTAAAGTGTACGTTCACACTAAGATCACATCTCCGCAAGTGTTCATCTTGTAGCCGAGAGCCATTTTTAAGTGTCAACCTTCAGCTGTTGCAGTGGCATTTCTGTGTTGTCCCCACCAGTTACATTCTCTATCGCTATCACTTTGTTAACAACTAACAAGCCGTTGGCGTGTTCAAACAAACTTTTTGTAGTTTTTGTTTTTGTGAAAATACTAACTTCAGAATATAGGCGTTGTCGGTTTAACATGAAATCCGACTCTATAGAGAGCAGAACTTCTCAAAGTCATTTTGAATGTCGGAAATCGAGAGATCTGCTTTCGTTTCTTTTGTGATCCAATGTAAATCTCTCGTGATGTTTTTTTAAGAATCTACTTTGCCGCCTTTAGGCCGACATTAAGTGCAACTCTATTATTGGCTGTTGTTTTCATTTTATAAATATACGCCTTTGTCTCGGCAGCATTGCTTCTCAGAAACTTCATATTTTGACTGTGTTAGAGTACTTTAAATTCTTTCAATAATAAATGAAAGTATAATTACTCAGAAATAATAGCGTTTAAGTTTCTTTATTAGCCATGTTGACATGCGTTTATAGGGATAAAAATGACTCTTCTTGGTGTTAGAGCGCTAAACAGTTCGTAGGAGCAAAATAACTTGGTTATCAATAAATAAGAATAAAGCTCTCGGTGTTGATCAATCCCTGAGGGGTGCGTCATGCACTCGACTTTATTAAGCATCGTCAGAGCTGATTGAATGCATATCTGACCTCTACAATGGCTCGCGGTGACCTACCAATGTATCGAGCCAGTGCTGCTACCCTCCAAGAGAAGTCTGGTACCAAATTGCCAACCTCGGTGTGATGGAAAGCTTGGTGAGTCTGGTGCGCAGGGATCGAATCCATGTGCATTGCAGGGCGCCTCCGACCACTGCGCTGCACGCGCCCCACTGTTTATTAATACTTTGACTAATTGAAACTAGGTTTTCCGAACTATATAGTTCACTTTCTTTTATTTCCATTATCTATCTGAGCTCTTTCCAACAGTTTTCTTATAGTTCTTTTGTTTTTTGAACAATTTGTTACTGTTATGTTAATTGAAGTGAGATAGAAAAAGTTAAAATAAGTGTTACAGCGACTGTGATATTGATTCGAACCGAATGTACATGTCGATAGCACGCCGCACGTAATTGAATTACATCTACAGAAGAAAATGGTAAAAGTCACAACCAAAGATTTGAAAAGAACCCAATAGTTTGTCTCCATTGACGTTACCGTTCAATGTTTTTAGTTGGGACGATGTAGATGTTTGTTCATCCTTTCAATCTCGGGCCAGTCACACATTGCCGATATTTGTCATACGGCTGACTATATTTGTCGAGAATGAAGATATGAATTGAACATGTTTATAGGACTGGTTCTCATAATGTTAGCGTGGCTTTAACTCGTTCTCTCAGAAACTTTCGCTAGAAACTCGGTTCTTCTGCGAAACCAGTGAGGCACAATTGTTAAACTGTTCACTTATCGACATCGTGGAGCTCAATGGCTCTCTGGAGACTGGAAAAAGATCATGGTCGTCTGTAAAAATTTAGCACACTGTGTTTCTAATCGTTCTTTTGAATCCTTTCCGTATGCTTCCTTATTCTTGCTGGCACCGAATCCCTTCGTCATATCGAGTTTCTTTGACCACAAATTCTTCAGATACAAATGGTCGTCTGATGACTATATCTAATGAAGATTTATTTATTATATTCCATTCTCTGGTAGTTTATTTATTGGTTGTTCGAAAAGGTCTCAAATTCTCAAGAATTAGCCTCGGAATTGATCAAAAAGCAACTGTTCTCTTGATAAGCACAGACGAGGTTATTAGTATGCTATTTATCAATTGGGGCGCTTATGGGGCAGTGGTTGGAGGCTCCCTGCGACACACACATGGGATCGATCTCCTCGCCCGTAGCTCACCAAGCCTTCCATTCCTCCGAGATCGGCTAATTGCTACCAAACTTGTCTAGGAGAGTAGCAGCACTTGTTTGATACATCGGTAGGCCAGCGCAAGTTATTGTAAAGACCAGATACGCATTCAATCGCCTCAACTGATCCTTAATATGCATGGCGCATCCCTCAGGGTTTGATCAACGCCGTGAGCTTTATCCTTCTATTTATTAATTTATGAATAGCAGCTAACGTATTTACCCACATAGAACTCTAATCTTTCAAGCAGAATTGACCATTTCTATTAAAAGTTTTTCAAAGTTCTACTTAGTGAGAAGTGTAGCTTTTGCATGCAAAATTGCATATAGAGTTTACGGACTTTCCAGATATGTTTCTTATCTGTTCGTACTTTATCGCGCTAGAATTTCTGGCCTTAGAAAACTTTCCTTTCTGAAATTGTTGTTGCCTACATTCGTTTCGTTATGCTCTTACCTTCGTTGAAGGTTTCCATTCGCAACAACAAGGCCCATTTTTTTTTCTTATTGAGACTGCTTTTTCAATTTCAATGTCGTAATTTGTCGTAACCTTTCTTCGTCTACCGTGATATGACGATCTTAACGAAGGAAAGTGGTTGAAATTCAACAGTAAGAATTACTAGTAGTAGGTTAGCGAAAAAAAAACACTCATAGACTAAAGAATCATGAAGCTTCAAGCTTTGAGCAAATAGTGACTGTATCTTTTGAACTGGAAATTTAATAATAAAGTTGTTAAGTTTTAGTGTAGTCATGCGTCGTCGTTAATTATCCGTTGACACATGTTTGGTAAAGTGGATGTCAGCTTACCTGCAATTGGGATATTATTGGCAGTGCTAGAAGGATGTAAAAAGCGTAGTCTGGATTGTGTCCTGGTGTTTTTGTGTAGGTGAACGGACTTCGTTGTCCGATCTTTTACATTTCCCATTCCCAAACCAGCCTTCTGCTAGCAAAAATCGCACAAATGTAACGGGCACTGGCGACGAAGGCATCTCGTTTTCCATCAGGGGATGACGTCCGAGCGAAATCGATTTCTCGTACTTGATGAAAGGAATACAACTGATACCATATTCTTTCTTGAAAACAAGACTTCGTCTGAGTTAGTTTTGAGTACGGCCTTAGTGATCTTCAAGGTATTTATTGCACAACATAATAATTTAATAAGTTACTACAAGACTCGGCAAAAGAGTTCCTAGCCTATTGTTGGTGTTTTTGGCGAAAATTGTGATGTATGCAAAAGCTACTGTGGAAAGGATAGTGGAAGTGTAGAATGCATATGTAAAGTGATAATGTTCAACGATATGTGAAGCATAAATGGGAAGGAAAAAGTGGGAAGCCCATTGAGTCATCGACGCGAGTCCGGTTGCTTTCCCGAGGTCTGTGATCTCAACTGCACTGAAATAGAATGAATGGCTTGTTCGTAAATGGTGTTCCTTATGGACATGACTGCGTACATGGCATCTTTTACCGTAATCTTTCTACTTATGTTTTTTGATAAAACAACAAAAAAGGCTTCAGATTATTTTATGATTTTTGGACTAAATGGTAGTATCTGGTCTCCTAGTACACGTTGTATCTTGAATTATGGGTGAGGCTTGAAACTGTCGCGTCATTGACAGGGTGACTGTTTCCAATCAGAATATTTCAAAGGATTGTCAAAAACAAGTAGTTTCACAGTGGTAGTCATCGCGTCATCTTATGTTCAACAACTTTTTGGATTCAGCTGCAATACACTTCAAATTTCGCTTTGAGAACATTTTGGTAAAAGATGTAAAAGGAACCTTCCGTACACTCACCATTGCAACCACCATTGTTTTTATATAATCTGCTTTTAGATAAGAGCGCTAGTCTAGTACGAACCTCTATACGTAATTAAATCTATGTGTAAGAGTTACGAAATTTCATGAAGAACCTACCTAGTGATTTGAGTGCACGATTCGGCGTAGGCAACAGCATATGCACCAGTGTGTACGGCAGTAATGATCAGAACTTGCTCGAACGAAGTTGTTAGGGAAGCCGCATAGTAACAAAGGATCAATCCTGTCATGGAGATTTGAAGCAGCCGACGGGGGCTAGTTCTTCGTTGAAGAAAGGGCAGCACAATAAATTGTACGCCCAACAACGATCCCGCCATGACGAGCAATATAATGGCAGAGTCGTTTGTGTCCTTCATGAAACTGCGCAGAAGAAAGTTTCTCCAGATCATCTCATAGCAGACGTACGACGATACAATGAGACTACGAAGAATGAGCCCTTCTTTAAGAGCCGTGTTTTTGGTAATCATCGGCCAGTAGTCCTGTGGTCGAAGACGAGCCGTGGCGAGACGTGGTATGGAATGAGTAGTCGGCAGCAGGAATGTTAGTACCGGCATTAATGTGAACAATAGGGCAACACCACATATGAATTGAGATGTTCGCAAAGTTGTATAGGCGGCAATTTTAGAGCCTAGGATTGGCCCGAAAAACATGGCCATTGCCTGAAATAGTGCATTGATTACGTCATTGAATTAGCAACCGTAAAGTTTATGTTGCCCCAACTTTCCTGTTACAGTTCTAGTCAGTGAAACTCCGAAATCTTAGCACTAAAATGTTTTTTTTTTTAGTAAACCTGTGTTTCATATATTGGTTTTTTGTAACAATATGATTGATTTGTATGAGGGCTGAACTCATTGAGCCATGTATTTGAATCAAAACGCGTAGAAAATCGATATGCGTCACGTCTCAGCGACGGATATTCACAAGAAAAACTGGCTAAAACTCACTAAATAGTGGTTTAGATATGTTATGACTTCATCTGCTAACGTCTTAACTTCAGAATGGTTTTTATAGGAAATCTCTATTGTTTTCACCTGCGGTACTGTGAGCCTCATTAAGGCACCAGTTCTCTCCCGTTCCGTAGTGATCGTAGCTAAATACATTTCTGCAGTGCCATCCATTTGATATCCGAAGCGCAAAAGCTTGAAAAGATGATATCTATCAAGAAATCAAGAAAAATGGGAGGATTTAGAAAGTTCAGAGTCACTATACCTGGAGAAAAAAGAATCCATACCAGGATTTTGCTATGGAAATTCCAGAATAATAAATAGACGTAAATATGCACGACAACATAAACATTGCTTTTGCCCCAGCCGTATCCGCCATCTAAAGAATCTCGGCTTCTTGCTCTGAGATTGTAGTGTTAAATTTTGGAGATTTTACCCACTTTTGTGGCAATACATCTATTCTAAAAGTGCTCATACAAAATAGCTAAATACTTTGAGGTATGCACTCTTTTATAGACAAAAAACAGTGTCACCTGTCCGAATGCAAGAGCCCCAATCGCATTGCATACACTTCCAAAAGCTTGAATATAACCCAAGTCGACGATGGTCATTACTTCAGTGGTATCCCACTGAAGAAACGACAGTAGTGTTGTCGTCCATTGTGTTGCCATGTGCCATAGTCCGAATATCAGACATAGGACGAACAGCACTCTCTGTTGTTTTTCAAGCAGCAACATTATTCCAGTATGATGGGCACTATAGACGAAAAAGTTTTTCGGTTTAGTAACGAATAGCACTGGATGAGTGTGCAAGGAAATGGCAGTTGATAGCTAGCCAGGATGGATCGTACGCTGTCCGGTCGACTGGTCGCCGCCGACGGTGCACCACTTGCTCGCTCCTCCCAGTGTCGGCCTATTTTCGCTTTCGTCTAGTCGACTCCATTCTCAGATGCAATACAGGTTCCACGCACAAGGTGGTCGACGTCTGGTCAGCGTCGTGACATTTGTCACAGGCCCGATATGCATCATGAACGCCAAGCACCACCGTTAGCTATTTCCTCTAAATCTACCTGTAGTAATTGCTACTTACTTGTGCAATTCTGTCGTAATGTGGTTAGACTGGACATTCATCAACACATTCGTGAGCATATTCGCTTTTTCTTAATCAGTGTGGCTGAGCAGTTTGGAGCTTGATCCACTGCCAGAAGAGGTTTTGCTCTTTTACTCAAAGGTTTGTATAGTTTTTATAAGCTATTCTTCCATTTTTAAAACTTTTTAGTGTTCACAAAAAGTGGATGACGAGACTTGAATTTTTGAAATTTGCAATGGAAACGCGCTAGCTCTACAGAAATCAACTTGTCCAATTGTTCCCACTTTTTAATGGGCGCTTCGATGAAGGAAGTCAAAAAAATGTGCTATATTGAAACAAAAAGTTAGAATTTTGTCGATATATAGTAGGGGATGTTGCGTTTTATTGCTAAGGGTATAGGTGGTGACATATTTTAAAGGATTTTTTCTAAAATAACTCGTCGACACTGAGTTGAGTCAAATCACACTGGCGATAAGGCCTAATTTTGCTGTGGTGATACATGAGACAGAGCCTAGTTTTCAATCGTTACAAACATTCTGGTTTTCCGACAGTAGGCGATAGTTTTTCTAAAACCCGAAACAAGACTTGAGGGGTTAAAAATATGTCTGGATTGTGGAAGAGAAAATATGTCTGGATTGTCTCTATTGCTCGGTTTAAATGTTATATATGAAACTGTTTACTATGTGTTACTACGGTCCGTCATATAAGCGCAACACTATCAGCATTTGGAAGGGTTTTGTAGTTTATGATGAGTTTATTTGGGGATTTTTTGAATACCTGCACATCCCATCTTATGACCTTATGAACCTGTAGTGATGGAACTAAAACAAAAGTAAGTTGATAGCCTATAGTGAGTGTACATCTGTATTTTTCGGTACCTGTCAATGAACGAATTCCACAAAAGTTTTTTGTACCTTTATTTACATGGGATTTACCTCGCCGATGCCCTCCACAACATATGTTGCTTGTGCGATCGGCCGATTCTAAGAACTGAAGGCAAAGGAAAGGAGAAAAAAACAAATGCAGAAAAAGAGTTCTGTTCGCCTAGATAGATCACCAGAAATAAAACGATTTCTATAGAGGTATATCGGACAAAATAGCCCCTTACCTATGACTTTTGTCGAGGTCACATCGTCGCAACTATCATGCATGATGCGTAAGTTTCCAGGCAAAGTGGCCGGTTTGGGTCATATATAACATAGTCCCCATTCCGGCGCTTATTTTAACCCATAGAGCTTTCCTGTTGAACTTTTCGTAATCATCCAGAAACTTTCCATTGTGTGTTATAGTTGGTATCGGTTAGCAAAAGCTGTGTTCTGCACTCATAAATATGCAAAACTTTTTACGAACGAGTTAAATAATCAATGAATTGATTGGTAATTGATTATTATTTCAATTCAAATTCCTATGATGAATCATGGTTATTGTGTCGGATGGGCGAATACAAAAAGTTCAAAATTAGCCTAAAGGTATAAGCTGAAAAGCACTTCCAAATGTTGACAGCTATTTGTTTCTATGATGGACCATAATATTATAAGGAAAATAATAACATACGTAGCATAGGCATTTTTAGAACGACAGAAAAAAACCTGTTTTATTACTCTATTATGTTATCGCTCTAGTCCTCCAGTCGTCGAGAAACGAATAAGTCGATGACGACGTGAAATTTTCCGTCGATCTCATTGGTTTTAAAAAAAGCTTAACTTTGAAGTTAAAGTAATATTTTGGATTAGTGTTGAAAGTTATCATTTTCTAACCGTTTACATGGAAACCATTAGACATTGTCCGTAAAGTCTTAGCTTTCCATTTTCTGCCTACTACAATTTTTCACGGCAAGGTATGTGAAATACAACCATAATGATCCTGAGATATCCGGAAAACTCCGGACTGCAGCTGTCTGCAGTGGAGAACGAATGTGCTATTACATTTTCTCGGGGCTAACATGTTCACCACTACACTATACGGGTCCTTCGTTTCGCCTCTCGGTAAAATATTAACAATATCGATTTCTTCTAAGGCAACGTTTAACATGAATAGGTGCTTTTTACGGAACATCTTTATCAATCCTTGATCACGTCGAATCGAAATCTTCGAATTTGTCGTAGAAACGGACTTCATGAATGAAGAATTCTTTTGTTTTGTGAGTGCTTTAGACTTCATTATATTCTTTTCCCTAATATATCAATTGCCCGCCTGCTTTTTTAGCTTGAGTTAATTTGGTTTTTGCACAAGTGCAGTACTAGAGTCATTAGGGCAGCTGTCCAGACGTTTTCTGTTATTGGAGCAGGAGCTGCGATTTCACTGGCGCATAAGTTTACCGTCAGCTAGTGTTTCTCATGGAAATGTCAAACTCTTCTGCTTGACATTGCTGGGGAAATAAACTGTTCTCTCAACATTGCATTTCAACACTGGTAAACACCCTTCAACTACGATGAGGCGTCAAATCATTTGAGTGAAGGACGGATTAGGACGGTTTTTTACTGTATTCCGCCTTTTACAATAGTGAGGCGTTATCTGGGTGCGATGGGCGATTTTTTCTCAATAGGCTTTTCGTGGTTTCGAAGATATCTAGTTTTCAGGTGGATTGGATCTTAAAACGCAAGAAGCAGCGTTGCGATCCGGTCCAGATGTGGTCGTTGCAACTCCGGGAAGACTTATCGACCATCTACACAACTCGCCATCGTTTTCCCTTAACAACATCGAGGTCTCCTCTTTTCCATAACTTGGATTATAATTTTTGAATTATAAATTATAATATTCGGCTGAGGAGATCGGCACTGTTAGTCCAGCTTTCCGTCAATCTTGGCGATGGTCATCGCGTTTGTATTTCTAGATGTACTACAATATGTTCCCTATTGCTAACTATAGTGATTTTTTAAATGTATCTAAGGAATAGTAATATTCAAGCGGGAATTGGAAACTTGTTTCGAAAACGAAATTTAATCTCTTGTGGAGAAAACTTTGCTGCTGATAGGTCAGTGTGTTTAAAAACGCGTAGTTGAGCTGTTTTTTTGGTTCTAAGTTTGTACTTCCATAGATTTCTTTCTGTTTAACCAACTAAGAATCTTTGTAGATATTAGTTTTGGATGAGGCCGATCGTATGCTTGAAGAAGCATTCAAAGACCAAATGAATGAGCTGATCCGGCTCTGTGCACCAAATCGGCAGACGTTGCTCTTTTCTGCAACGATGACAGATCAAGTAAGGTTTTATCACCTTCCTTAGAATTTAGATACTGAACTGTTTCATGCCTATGCCAGATTGACGAGTTGGCGTCGATGTCACTAAAGAAGCCAGTAAAGATTTTCATCAATGAGAACACCGAGACTGCGTTGAAGTTGAGGTGAATATTGGGTTCGAAAACTTGGAAAGTTGACCGTTGATTCCTTACGTCTTGGTGTGTTTTTAGGCAGGAATTCATTCGTATACGCGCAGGACGTGAAACTGATCGTGAGGCGATTGTTTCGGGACTCGTTACTAGGACATTTCAGGTTTTTATATCTACAATATTATCTAATCATATAATTGACTCATTATGATGTGTGTAAGGTTTTGTTAAGGAAAACACCATTATTTTCGTACGAATGAAGAAAGACTGTCAGCGAATGCATATATTGCTCGGATTACTTGGTTTGAAAGTCGGTTTGATGAGCGGTATCGTTGCCACTCTCAGATTAAATGAAGTAGAGGAAATTTTACAGGCTGGTCAAATGCATTCCTCACTTTCCCAAGCGCAAAGAATTGAGGCTTTGTCGAAATTCAAGCGTCGAGAGGTGAGGTTTTCCCACACTTAACTCCGGGAAAACGCGCTATTGTTAACTTCTAAGAACAGGAGGAAAAAATTCAGATAATTTTCCATACTAATTGTCGTAGCTTAATTCTTTTTGTTGTATACAGATGATTTTGTGTGACCAAGCTGTGTTATAAAATCGCACTGACATTTATTATGAGTATTTCTGAACTCATTGGTGAAAATGCAAATTCCAGTGGTACACTGAAGCACTGGAATATATGATTCCTGACCGTTAAATTTTAACCGTTGGTTTTTTGGTTATTTAAATTAAATATTTATGTATTACATTTATATTTGTTACCTCTTATAATTGAAGCTATAAAGCAGCACACGATATGGAAGGATTCCGATTAATAGATGTGACTTATAAGTGTCATGAGTCTCTTCATTTTGATTCGTTCTAGATTGATGTACTCGTGTCAACGGATTTAGCCTCACGAGGTCTCGATATTGAAGGAGTGCAAACGGTTAGTTGGCCTTAATTTGCAAAGGATAAAGTAGAGATGGACCTTCGGCTCTATGAAGTGTCACAGAGGTGACCGTGTGAATATTTGGCACATACAGTGGCTCGCTTGTGCTTAAAAATGTAACGTGTTTTTATCTACCACAGTGTGGTGCTAATTTATCGGTTCTCTGGATCGAGCCAATGCCCAAGGATGATGCATGGTGTGGCACTTTTAACCACTGTGCTTTCACGCGTTCCTAGTTAATTTTGGAAATGTTGACCAAAGCACTCCCTCCAATTACTTTTTCAAGTATTGCAATCAAATAAAAAATAAATTTCGATTTAAATAACTCTAGGTTTCTTCGATGATTTATAATATCTTTGGAAACTATAAGAAATTCTAGATTATAAATATGCATATGCCTCGGACAATCAAGCAATACATCCACAGAGTTGGGCGAACGGCTCGTGCAGGACGAGCTGGGAGGCTAGTTCTGATCGTTTTCATTCCAACTCTATCGCTTTTCTCTCTTGCGTTATTCCATCTTTTAACTTGTTGTCTTTATGCCGTTATTCAATTCATTCAGATCAATATCGCTTGTCGGTGAAGATGATAGGAAGCTACTGAAGGAAATCATTCGCACCAATCCTGATCGGACACTCAAACAGCGCATAGTAGCTCCCGGTGGGTTTTTTAAGGACTGAAGACGCATTTTACAATGGATGGAATTGTATTTTCAGAAGTAGTAGAAGCATATCGGCAACGAATCGACTCACTTGAAGAGTCGATTCGGCAAATTGATTTGGAAGAAAAAGAGGAGAAAGAGTTGCGGCTGGCTGAATTAGCAATGCGAAAGACGGAGGAGAAACTGGAGACAGGAACAACGGAACGCGAAGGACGTGTGTGGTTTAAGAAAGCCACAGAAGGAGGTTTCTCACAAGCATCGTTTTTTTTTTTCTTTTCAAACTTGAAAATAGTGTTGTGTGAAGGTTAAAAGTGCAAATGGCATGTGCATGCCAGTATTTTCGCCCTTAAATCAACAAGTTTATGTTCTTAATTTGTTCTGAGCAAAGTCATTTCATTTAATAGTACTCGAAATTTCCTTCAGTTTTGCTTCCATATCGTGAAGGTCGTTATGGTTTGTTCTTTTCTGGTTTTCTACTTCAGATGCAAATTTATTTCATGTTTTGAAACAAAGATCCAAAATCAGGTTCAGGAAGACCTGAAAACTCAAATTTTGAAAGAATACGAAAACCTGAAAGCTGTTTGATTTTTTTCACAGAGTTTTCCAGGATTATTTTGTCGTCATTAGAGATGTAGTTTCGTCTTCTGGAGTGACAATTCCATTTATACAAATTTACTAATAGGCTTCTATCTAAAATTTGCTTATACCTATACACAAAGGAGCGCGTATAGCGCAGTGATTCAATGCACATAGAATCGATTCCCGCGCCCCAGGCCCACCAACTTCTCTATCTTTCCGAAATCGAAAAATTGGTATCAGACTTTTTTGGTAGCATATCAGCACTGGCTCCATACATCGGTAGCTCACCGAGAGTCCGTATGAAGGCCAGACATGCATTTAGTCACCTTCAATGATGCTTATTGAAGTCGAATGCATGGCGCATTTCTCAAGGATTTATCGACGCCGAGAGCTTTATCATTTTTTATACCTAAAATTTAGTGCATAAATATTAATACTAAGAGAAATGAGTTTCTTTACAGAACGAGAACGAAGACGCACCGAGAAGAAATTGTTGAAAAAAGAAGCGTTGAAACGAAAACAAGAGCAGAAGACGGTACGATTTAGAATTTTTGCGATTTTCTTTAGCAGTTTACCATGATCCATCATGTTATACTTAGTGAACTCCTGTGCATTTTCCTTTGACCATGTTACTGTCCTTCCAAGTGGCTTAGATCTGGTTTTAGCCGGAGCAGATTAGGCTTGAGCACGAAATGGCTTACCTGGCACGTGAAGCAAAGCGAGCCCGTCGAAGAAAGAATCAGCGCATACGGGCTATTGTCGAAACGCCTTCAAGGGTAACATGTTCTTTCCCATTTATTAGTCGTCTGCTGTTTTATGTGTTTGACTTTAAGGAAGAAGTTTTTCCTCCGCTCTAATATTATTTCTTGCTTCTTTCACTCTATTCTGCTTTTGTCTTAAGTTGTGCTGATGAAGAAAGATGGAGAGCACGTGTTTAGTGGACGATTACCCAACTTTGTGACAGTTTTTTTTTCTCGTGTAAAATTCTCATTTGTGTTCTCCAGTTTGTGAAAAGCCCAGTAGTGGGTTTTAGCAATTTTCCTTACTAGATTTTAATATATGATACGTAGGAAAGTTGGTGAACATGTAAGACTCGATGCGCATTGAGCTCAATGCAATTCGTACAAAAGTATGGCCATTCTCAAATTTGAAGAATTATATAGCAACCTTTATTGAATATGTATAATCTTAACGAATATTTTTTTAGAAGTCTATATGTTTTAGTGTCATTTCGTTATTTCAGAAGAAAATTCCGGTTTCTAAGAAGAGGACAATGAGGTTGTCGGATATACGTACTGCAGAGGTGAAGAATTTTTTTTTTACTACTTGTCTAACGGGCTTTTGTACACTATCAAATTAAAATGCGGTTAGCTGTAGAGGTAAAAACTTACTTAGCAAGACTTCGTTGAAATGAGCAGTTAGTGAGGTACAACATGCTGAGACACGAACAAAAAAGTGGCTGAGAGAAAAGCAAAACAATGGTGTAAGTTGGTGTGGCGGATAGCTTGTGAACCTTCGGTAAGGATAAGATGGGGGCTTCGAAGCCCAACTGACGTTCCGAGTTTTGCTCGTATCTCATTATCCTCGTGGATTTGTTTCACATCGTAGGATGCCGTTAAGTAAGAATATGTTAGTAAATAAAAAGGAAATTAAGCTTTTAATGTTTTTTAGGTTAGTTTTGAGATCATTTCCAGGTCCCTCGGGTTTCAACTAAGAAGGTGGCACGTGGAAAGAGAAAATCGTCATTCACATCGGCCTTGACGGCCGTTGGAAGGAAGTCCGTGATGAAAGCTCGCCATGGGTCAGCCATTTTTCATTTTAAAGAGGAAGCAGTTTACGAATTAAATGCACTACATGAGAATATCAGTGAAATTACGAGGAAATTTTTGTTGTAAGCAACGACCATTCAGAAGAAAGAAAGGCACCATAAAAGATAATTTTTGCAACCCATTCAGTGTCGCGCCATTTTTATCGTTACTACCGACTACTATTTATTGAAATATACTTTTAATATTTTTACTAATTATTGATACTTATTTACGTTTTGTCTTTCCTTCTGATCGAGTATTTATATTACTATTTAGCACGGTTCGCACAGTGGCAAAAATGCCGTTTAATAATAAGTGCAAGTTTCTTCATAATTTGACCCCGCCCAGCACCAACCAGGCAGCCGTTTTTCAAGCGTCCGCAAATTTGTACCAGATTTGCTGCAGGAAAAGTACCCTCCGATACGCAAAAGATGGTGAATGTCTGCGGTGAGGACCTGGAAAAAGCTTAGTGCAGTTACCCCAGGATTCCAAGCAAAATCCAACCAGTGTTCAAGAACATTCATAAAGAACACCACAAAACTCGGGCAGCTGCCGAACTCACACACAAAATCCGAAGAACTTCGAGTAGTGGTTATGCTGAGAAAGAAATCGAATGGAAGAAGTGCTCTTCACAGTATATAGTGCCAGGTCGTGTAAAGCGAAAAAAATGTTCCTGACTATTATTATTCTTACCGTTGCTATTAACTCTTAACGGTTTACCGCATCATCGTAGCTGGAAGGTGTTCCTGGATGTCGGGTTGCAATGTAGAGCGGAGAGGATTCATCACCTCAGCAAGGTCTCTCAAACTGAGAAGGAGTCCGGCGTTTCCATCAGGAAGCCCAGTTAAGAGTAAACCAGGACCCACCACCGTTCTGGTATCAAACTAGTTGCATGGTGGCAGATCTCCCTTTGATCCACAAAGATGGTGATGGCCTGTGGTGGTGACGACCTGAAACGGACTTTGCCTTGGATGACCTCTGGACTCCAGCCAACCACAATGACTAAACCAGCAAGATTCTGAAAAAGTAGACTTCTCACTCATCAAATTATATTCACAAGTTATTGTTTCAGTTTACATTCGCTTCTTCTCGTTTCCTCTTTGCGAAATTCTTTGTACCTGTTTCAAGTTGATAAGAATTTTGTTATTTAAGTTATCTCTCGGAGTTTTGAGATTTCTCTTACATTTTTTGCAATACATTTCTTTAAAGTGTTTTAAAGTACTTTGTACTCGTTGTAGGCCCGAAGATTCGGCGTTCCAAAAAGCACGTGTCGCTCATCGCCTGAAGACGAAGAAAAAGTGATCAATGTGTTCAGTACTATCGTTATTAGTTGATTATCCAATTTTCAATGTTGTTGTCGCGTTTTTTACGAGCCGATTTGAGTGTGTTAACACAAAAGGCGGACTTTCCATAAACCTTGGCATAAGTGGCTTGGCAATATATATATATATATATATATATATATATAATTCAATGTTTTTCATCAATAAGCAGACACGAGGTTGTTAATATAGAATTTATTAGAACACAATTGCTGACGTTTCGGCGGTTTCGCCTTCTTCAGAGCCTGGAAAGGTCAAATTGAAAGGTCAATATATATATATATATATATATATATATATAATTCAATGTTTTTCATCAATAAGCAGACACGAGGTTGTTAATATAGAATTTATTAGAACACAATTGCTGACGTTTCGGCGGTTTCGCCTTCTTCAGAGCCTGGAAAGGTCAAATTGAAAGGTCAATATATATATATATATATATATATATATATAATTCAATGTTTTT